TATATATCCAAATGAAAGAAGATATTAACTATCAATGAATAAATAATTATTTATTTGTAGTTGTTTTGGGTGATTGTTTTTTTTTATTTAATATTATGTATTTTTTTTAAATTTATGATTGAGATAATCTTTGATTTTTAATTATTTTTTTATTATCATTATTGTTTTTTTTTTCTTACCATTACCATGATTTCCACAAGTTGATTATACTTTTCTATAAGAATTAATTATATTCGTAATGCCAATAACTCATTTCTAATAATTATATTTGTTTTTAAAATTTAAAAAGAAAATCATATAAGATAATTAATTATACGTGTCATTTTCAGAAAACGTTAGAAAAAATAATTGAAAAGCACAAATCACATGGCTACGGTCTTTAAGTGACATGTGACATTCAATGAGTTTGATTTTTAATGTTGGAGTAGAGAACAAATGATTGAAAGCCAGCAATTTCATCCTCATATTTCTTCTTCTCGCACTCTCTTCCCCAAGCTTCCATACTTGCAATTCTTGGTACCCTTTTGAAACAAAGCTACGAGTTACTTGTTTCCCCCTCTGTATTTCTCGATTCCTACTTGTATAACTCCTCAGTAGTGTATAGTTCTTACCTACATGGTGGAATTGGAAAGCCCAACTTCAGGTTCTTCCATTCTCTTTCTTTCCCTTACACCCTTGAACTTGATTATTAAATAATAATGCTTATGATGTTGTTTCGTGAGTCTGTGTAAAACATTGGGGGATGTTTTCTTTGATCTTCTGGTTCTTGAATCATCTTGAATATTCTCGATCTTTTCTTGGTTAAGCATGGGCAAAATATAGAGCTATTTAGGGTTTCCATAGTCGACATAAATTGGGAAGTTTTCCATACATGAGCAGATTAGGAATCATTTGGGTAATTTTATTTGGCTTCTTGATTCAGGCGAGGCGATGAGATCACTTGTTGTATGCTTCGGCGAAATGTTGATCGATTTTGTACCTTCTGTTTCTGGAGTCTCACTTGCAGAAGCACCTGCGTTTGAGAAAGCTCCCGGTGGTGCTCCGGCTAATGTTGCCGTCGGTATATCAAGACTGGGCGGTTCATCGGCGTTTATTGGCAAGGTAAGCTGCCGGAAAATATCCGATCAAATTCTAACTTTTATTACTATGAACCATGAGTATCAGCCGGATTTATATCTGGGACCCGTTTTTAGGTTGGCGATGATGAATTCGGGTACATGTTGGCTGACATTTTGAAGAAAAACAACGTAAACAACTCCGGCATGCGATTTGATCACAAGGCCAGAACAGCTTTAGCTTTTGTCAGTCTCAAATCCGATGGTGAGCGGGAGTTTTTATTTTTTCGTAATCCTAGTGCAGATATGCTACTTCATGAATCTGAACTTGATGTGGATCTTATTAAACAGGTTCTCTTCTTTATTATCATTTTCTTTTCGATAAATGCTATAATACTTAAAATTTTGAAAGGATGTTGCTATTTTTGGGTAGCAAGCATATAACTTTTGGTTTATTTGTAATTGATTTAGGCAAGAATATTTCACTTTGGATCGATTAGTTTGATAGAGGAGCCATGTAAATCAACACATATAGCTGCAATGGCCATAGCCAAGAAATCCGGAAGCATCCTTTCTTATGATGTGAATTTGAGATTACCATTATGGCCATCACCGGATGCGGCTCGAGAGGGTATAATGAGCATATGGGACCAAGCTGATGTCATTAAGGTATATATACTTATATGGTCATATATAATATACAAATCATCATAATTAACATCATAGATGTGATCCATGTTTTCGATGATGACTTGGTAGGTAAGTGAGGATGAAATTACGTTCTTGACCGGGGGTGATGATCCTTATGACGATAATGTCGTGTTGAAGAAGCTTTTTCATCCAAAACTTAAACTTTTTCTTGTTAGTGAAGGAGCACAAGGTTGTAGATATTACACTAAGGTATTGTTTCTTTTTTACTTAACGGGCTTAATATATAGGATTAATTATATTCTAACATGTGTTGTTATGATTCTTAGCAATTTAAGGGTAGAGTACCTGGAGTGAAGGTGAAGTCTATTGATACAACGGGTGCCGGAGATGCTTTTGTTGGTGGGATTTTGAGCATATTGGCTTCAAATAAAGATCTTTACAATGTAACATCTGATATCCATTTAACATTTATTGGACTGAGACTAACGTCAATGGATCAAAATTGTATAGAGATTCGCTCTCCTGTGTTATTTTGTCCAATCATGTCATGTCTATGTGTGTGTGTTTTGTAACCCATTGTTGTGTTTATAGGATGAGGCACAACTAAGAGAAGCTCTTCACTTTGCAAATGCATGTGGAGCCCTAGTTGTGACTAAGAAAGGTGCGATACCAGCGATGCCAACAAAAGAGGAAGTCTACCGATTTCTGAAACAAGAAGGCTGAATATGGCTATAATTAATGTACATGTATTGTCGCTATGGATGTTTAGGTAAATCCCACGGTTGTGATGTAATTGTCCAACTTTAGGATTTAACAAATAGCTGAAATGTAACAATAATGCTTGTAATGGTCCTCCTTGTAGTCCACACCATGGATTATTCGTTAAAATACTTGGAATAAATATTTCATTATAATAATTGTTGATACCTTGCACTATACACCACATCACCCCTTAGATTAGAGATGAACAAATCAAACAGTTTTACCGAAACCAGTTCAACTTAACCGAATTGGCGGTTTTGTAGTGGTTTTAAGGATTTTGGAAGACCGGTTTTGAACGTTTGATTTTCTAAAAACACAACCAATGTAACCAGCCACCCTATTAATTCGATCATCCAAATGTTTATCTTTCAATTTGACAGCAAAAACAATCCAAATTCTTCAAGATCAACCTCGAAGGTATTCCTACTATTGCAGCCATTAATGGAGTCACCGACACTCACTTTCTTTTTATCTCCCCTCACCGATTCATCACCACCAACAACACAAGAACGATTTAGCATAGCCTCGTCAATGTTTCATCACACCAATGCAACATATAGCTCCTAAACCTTACTAAATCACCGTAAAATACGAAACATAAAAGTGTGGAGGGTAGCCCCTTGGACTTTCGTAAATCATGTCTTCATTCATAGTCTTACGATGGCTATTATTTGGAATAAAAGTTTAGTAAAAAACAAGTCTTTTAACCAAAACCGATTATTTCAAAGACAGTTCTTCAATAATCAAAACCAGTCAAGCATTTAAAGTCCAAGAAACCAAACAATATTGGTTATGTTTTAATCGAAACGGATAACAAAACCGAACCAATTTAAACAAAAGAAAATCATTTTTTTAATTGCAAATGTGCACCTCTGTCTAAGAGAGGAAAAGCAATGATCACCCATTTAGGGTTTCAACCTTGAGGCCCTCACGCCCCATAATTGAAGATGTATAGTGTATACGAGTCTGGCCCAAAGACAACAATCCAACCATCAAAGACTTTGGACTTGAAAAGTTCGGTCCGTGTTATGTGTTAGTGATAACATGAATAATTGGACGGCTTAATGTCATAACACTTTGATAGAAATTTTTGATTTTATTTTTTTCAGAAATTTATAAGGTTTTTTTTAATGTGTTTTTGGTTCATTAAAACCCTTAAAATTGGTAAAAATGTTCGATTTTACATTTTTCCTAGTTCATTAAAACTACAAGTGTTCGCAGTGCAGTTTAGAGTCAAAACCACAAACCGCACCACATATGCGGTTTGAGTTTTTCGAAAACCACAAACCGCACCGCAAACCATGTAAACTGCATTATGCGGTGCGATTTAATTTTGTACGGTGCTTTGTGGTTTAAAGAATTATATATGTTATAAAAGTATTATACAATATAATCAAAATGAAAATGAAAAACATCTAAATAATTAGCACAAATTGTCTATGATAATTGTCACACACACAAAACACAAAATGATAATTGTCAAGCACACAAAGGTTGAAGTATAATTATCGTCTACACAATCATTAATAATTAGAATTATATAAAATCTTAATTTTAATTATGAAATCAATTCAAAACCGTGCAACGATGAAATTCACTTTATCATCCTTCAATCTATTTATTCTTTTGTTTATATATATACTAGACGAATTCTTGTGCGTTGCACATCACATGTTTAAAATATATTGTTAGAGTATTGAAAAATATATATTTATAATGGTTATGTTATTGATATTAATTTTGATATAATATTTTTACACTAGTGTGTATATATATATATATATATATATATATATATATTCATTGACAACAACATATATTTCTCATTAATAGAATTAAATATAATTATCTATTTAGTATTATTTTTAATAGCTGTTATGATTGATTAATTTAAATTTTTACTTATGCAATTATTTTCTAATTTCATTAATGATGTTCATTTAAAATACACTTTAGTTGTAGCTAACATTATGCAATTTATAATTTGATGTTAGTATCATTGAAAATTATTGTTTATTAATTTGAACCCACTTATTATTATTAATAAGTTAAAAAAGACTTTTAAGAAACACATAATATTATTATTTAAATATGAAATATATACTAAATAATATAGTGATAATATTGAAAATTTGTATTTCAAAAAAAACTTACATGGATAATATGACATATCCATGATTTTTATAATTTGATTTTAATATTTATAACTGTTGTTCATTAACTTTAAACCCAATTATTATTATTAATAAGTGAAAGAAAAGTTTTAAAAATCACTTATTATTATACTAAAAATGTTAAAAATATACTTAATTATAAAGTATTAAGATAGACAATTTACATTTTAAAAGAGATTTACATGGATAATATGGATAATATGTGACAACCGTCAAATTCTGGTCAATTCAAAGTCAAATAAAGTCAACAAGTCAAATCGGTCAGCTCAACTAACCCTTGTGTACTAGGACTTACGTTCAGTATTTACTAAACAACTCGCTATTCTGATAAGAAATCATAAATTGAAAAGTACGTACAACTAGATCTCTTTAACCTAAAAATTGTGGTACGTGGCGGCCCAAACCGATAAAACAATGTTGCATACTCATCGGGAGTGTGTAAGATCCTTAAACAAGGCTTAACAGGGTTCACGAACCATGCATTGCGATGCTGGACACTCACAACTATCCCACATGGAACCTCTCTCAATTGTTTTCACTCTATCTCTCTCTATGTCAAACCTCCCCCAAATCTCTCCAAGTATGCAAAATCTCTCTCAAATATCTCTCTGTATTAGAAATCTCTCCAAGAATGTCAAATCTCTCCCAAATCCCTCTAAGTATGTGAAATCTCTCTCAAATATCTCTTTGTATGAGAAATCTCTCCAAGAATGTCAAATCTCTTCGAAATCTCTCCAAGTATGTGAAATCTCTCTCAAGTATCTCTCTGTATGAGAAATCTCTCCAAGAATGTCAAATCTCTCCCAAATCTCTCCAAGTATGTGAAAATTCTCGCAAATATCTCTTTGTATGAGAAATCTCTCCAAGAATGTCAAATCTCTCCCAAATCTCTCCAAGTGTGAGAAATCTCTCCCAAATCTCTCTCAAAAGTTTCCCGTAACTTTTTGGAATCATTCGGGTCATTCCGACCCTTAACCGGGTCAAAAACGGCTCAAAACGGGCGAAAACGAGAAAAATAGGCTTTAGGAACCGAAACCAAGAAGAGAGGCTTCTTAGGCGAGGACCGAGCCTCTGTTGGTTGTGGCACGCGAGGACCGAGCCTCTGTTGGCTGTTTCACGCGAGGACCGAGCCTCTACCTCTGTTCACTTCTCGCACTCTCTGTTCGCCTTCCGCCTCTCTGTCGCTTCCTCTCCTCTCTGGATCTTCCCGCCTCTCGGTCTCTGCTCTCTCTTCTCTTCTCTCGGTCTCTCTTCTCCTCTCTCGGTTCCCTCTCTCTCTCTCCTTTCTCCCCTCTCGGTTCCTACTCTCCCTCTTCTTCCCTCTCGGTTTCTGCCTCCCTCTCTCTCGGTTCAGCATCAGAAGACCGAACCTCGGCCAGAATTCGGAAATTTGTCACTTTTAGCCCATTTTTGATATTTTTAACATTTTAAGCCTGTTTTTCGTGATTTTAAAGCGGGATTTTCTCCAGAAATTATATTTTAACATAATAAACTCTAAATATTCATAATTTAAACATATTTTGATGAAAATCATTATCTAAATAATAAAAATCAAATGGGTGAATTATTAAAGGTGGAGTGTTGATTTTGTCTTATCCAATGTCACAAGCAACCACCCCACACCCACTCTTTGACTAACCACACCTCCCCACCTTACCTAGGTCACTCCAATGTCCCTCACACTCAATTTACACTCATTCCCACGTTTTTAGAGCTGGAACAAACATCCTCTCTCCTCATTTCTCTCATTTGCCCTCATTTCACTAAGTATCAAACACCACTTTTCTCTCAAACTTTTCCCACTCCAATTTCGAGATTCAAGGCTGATTTTCAAGTGTTCTTCCACTCTTAGTAAGTATAATTCATCCTCCTTATGATTATTTCACTTCATTCTACTCAAATCATGAATATCTTACACAAACTCCATCATATTAGCGTTAGAGCTTCGAATCTTCAAGTGATTCTTCAAGTGTTCTTGGGTTGAACACTTCTCTTCTTCAACACTTATCTACTGAAATCACTCAAGGTGAGTTCATACCCCTACATTTTCATGTTTTCTCACGTTTTCAGGGGTGGGGGGGGGGGGGGGAATACAAGTTAAAACACCAAGAACATAACTAAAATTTTCTAACAGCCTTCATCAGAAAAGTTCAACTCCATTCACGGACTGTTTTGGACAACTTAAACATTTTATTTTTCAAAACTGTACAAGGTGCAAATAGTTCAAGTTCTTAGCTTTAAAATGACTACTTGTACATCTCCATACTATTTTTCTACAATTTATGGTGAATTTTACAAAACTGCCTATCATTTCAAACACCAATCCGGACCAGTCTGTGATTATGGACTTTTTCACCCAAATTTGAGGTCATTAAAAATCTTGATAAAAATTATGAGTAAACTAGACACATTTTGTGAACTCTCAGAATTTACGGATCTAGTTTTCAACTTCGTATGATTTTTCTATGATTTTTCTAAAACAGTGCTGAAAGACTAAGAATTAATTAACAGCTTCTAACTATCAAAACACTTTGTAACATGTTGAGCAAAGTGTTAAAACTTGGATAACTTCATATATTACATGTATTTCTTGTTATGATATAATCATATAATAGGAAATTACTTGCTGAATTTATAAGAATCCTCCATCATAATCATTAGTACAAGACAAAACAAGTTAAACATAGCTATAATGTACTATACATTTGACTTCCATAGAATGGGATTCTTAAACACCACAAAGAAATATACTAAACTATAATAGGTATAGTTAGAGTACATATACATTTCAAACATTTTAATAAACTATAATAGGTATAGTTTATGATCATTTACATAACATACTCGTACAAAAAGGGGTACAAATACAAAGTGCCGGTTTATTTATACAAAAAGGGGTACAAATACAAAGTGTCAGGTTTATATACAAAAAGGGGTACAAATACAAAGTGTCGGGTCTCTATACAAAAAGGGGTACAAATACAAAGTGTCGGGTCTCTATACAAAAAGGGGTACAAATACAAAGTGCCGGGTCTCTATACAAAAAAAGGGGGTACCGATACAAAGTACCAGGTTCACTTAAGATAGTTATTATGAAATCAAACTATATTTCATCTAGAATTGTTAGACTTCAACTATAGTCGCTGAGCGTATATGTTTGAGTCATATAAGAATTTAGTCTTGATTGGCCTAGAATTGGTGGTGCCCGCCTCATCTCCTGTTCCTCGTTGGGTTGTGGACCTAGGGCAGACCCACTATATTCAACGTTTTATCTAATTTAAATCTTATATAACTTTTATACGCTGGACGATTATAGAGGAACTCTACAGGTTACTCTAGGGTTCATTAATGCATCATATAAGAATATTTCTATTCACACTTAACTAAGAAAATATTGGATTTTCTGGAAATCAAACTATATTTCATCTAGAATTGTTAGACTTCAACTATAGTCGCTGAGCGTATATGTTTGAGTCATATAAGAATTTAGTCTTGATTGGCCTAGAATTGGTGGTGCCCGCCTCATCTCCTGTTCCTCGTTGGGTTGTGGACCTAGGGCAGACCCACTATATTCAACGTTTTATCTAATTTAAACCTTATATAACTTATATACACTGGACGATTATAGAGGAACTCTACGGGTCATTCTAGGGTTCATTAATGCATCTTATAGGAATATTTCTATTCACACTTAACTAAGAAAATATTGGATTTTCTGGAAATCAAACTATATCGATTTTACAAGGAAAACGGTTTCTACTTCAAACAAAACTCTTATGAACTCACCAACTTAATTGTTGACACTTTTCAAAACTACTTGTATTCTCAGGAAATCAGTGAAACAGGAAAACTTCATCGCTTTGAGGATGGGACGTTAAACCGTCAACAATTTATTTTTGTCATCATAATGTAATTGACTTTGAATCATGTAAACATATACTTTGGTGTAACTTTTTCAATTATATTTATGATGGTTGTATTCACTTTGAGCACTATTATTTTCATTGTTGTGATACTGTACATGAAGTCCTCCACCCCCGGACGTTTCCGCCATCCTTGGTTTGGGGGTGTGACAGATATGATATATTCATGATTTTTAATTAACTATTGCTTTGAAACAACACAAACCCACAAACATATATATAATGTTTAATTAAATATTATCTATATCACATTCTATAACATATGATTGATAATATGAATCTAATCTAATTAACATTAAAATTTCAACCACAACATACAATGATTGTCTTAAAATAATAGTTAAACCAAGAAAAAAAAAGGATTATTATATAACAAACTTACAAATTAAAAACTTAAACATAATAACATGGCTCGATAAATGATCCAAAACCCTCAAACCAATACAAAAACCTTTAGACTTGTTTTCTATGTGAAATTTATATGTGATTGGTATTTGTTTGTCTATTATCCATTAGTTGCTTATTAATCATTTTATATAAGTTATAAAACCTTTGAATGGTAAATCATTATTAAAAGATTTTTAAGTGATATTCATTCAAATAAGAGATTTCAAATGAATATGTTTTAAGTAAAATGCATCATGGGAGTTTCAAAAGAATATAATGAAAGGAAAAATATTTCCTTTATAAGTATATATATATATATATATATATATATATATATATATATATATATATATATATATATATTGCAATGCGGTTTTGAACCGCGGTTTCATACTTAAAAACCACAAAACGCACCGTGCAGTACGGTTTAACAAAATTAGAAACCACAAACCGCGTAGTTAATGTTCCAAACCATATTATATAGTGCGGTACGGGACGGTTTATTCGGTGTGTACGGTTTTTTCTGCACAACCCTAGTTAAAACCCCTACATTTACATAAGTTTTTGGTTTTATTAGATAAATATGAGAAATTGATTTTTTAATATGTCTCCTAAAGACATATATAACAAACATTAAATATCATAAATATTATCATAACTAAATATAAAATTAATTTATTATAGATATTATCAATTATTTCACATTTAATTAAGACAATATTTATTATAATAAATTAGTTTCACATATGATAATATTTATAATATTTAAGCGTGACCTACACATACACATATCTTAGAAAATCGCTCGTAAAAATGAATGTATACCTGTGGCTCTAATGAATCTAGAAATACATAAAAGAATGAATGTTTGATTCGATTTTTTTTAATAAAATTGTTGATACAAAGTTTAATTGAGACTAAACAAAATCCCGCAACTGATCGTGCCACCGGCACCTATGGCATGTGCAGTTGTTTGAAATTGCAAATCTCCTTACGCTCGTTATACGCCACCACCCAGATTTACCTTCAGTCCTTCAACTTCCCCTGATTCCAGTAAACCATCACTTATCTTTCTTTGGAATCCAGATTCATTCATAACATCGATCCATCAGACAGATCCACAACCATCAACAATGGCAACTGATCGTTCGTTGGTCACGGAGATCGGTCCGGATGGTCTCGTCCGCGAATCGCCTGTCATCGCCCACACCGAGCGGGTGCGTGTTGATTTCCTATGGCCTATATGTTCATGGTTTTGACTGATTTATAATTCTAAGTGATAATGTTAATTCATGTCATTCTAATTTTAGATGATCGAAGAGGAGCAGCTTCAGTTGAGAAAGTACGTTTCATTCCACCTATGAATTTGTTATTCGCTCTGCTGATTTTTCATTTGCATGTTCGCATACTATATTTCTAGTATTGTTAAACCCGTAATTCAGACTAAATATTATAAATAGTAGCACCGTACTGTTTGATTAGGTTTTATGAAGCTTATTTGGGTTTTCTTGGATGTTAGTAGAATGAATTTCAATTATTTCGCCATTAAAATCTGCTTCGCTGCTTAACTTCAGCTATAAATAGAACAATTTAAGAATGCTCAGAATTGACATCAATTCCTTGATCTCTACTATTAAAGGGAACCACATTTAAACTTGCTAATGATTGCTGATATGCTGTGTGCGTGGATTTTTCTCTCCGTATTTGATGATCTTTTCTAGAATGATGCAAAAAGTATCACTGTAATATGCCTCAAGAAGGTCTGTAAAGGGATTGAAGTTTTCTCTACTTGGGATACCTGTCTTCCTTGCCTTCTTTGTATAATGTTGACCATCTTCCTATCTATAAATCGAGTAAATTGAGAAGCTTTTTGGTTAGCTGATTGAATACATGGGTCACTAGAAGTGCTACTATGTAGGTTGATATTACTCGAATTCACAAATGAACATGAAATGTCAACTTATAATTCTTTGATATCTGTACATGTTCTGACTTCATTGCGCGAAAGAGAGGAGAAAAATCTGCAATTAAGAGAACTTCATTTTAGGACATCATGAATGCCTATAATATATATAGTGCACTCGCAATAATCATTCTAGATTTGTCATGTCATGTTTACCAATAAATTTAAGATGTCTATCCTGAAATTCTAGATCATAGTATAAATAGCTTTGTTTCTTGATATTCAGTAGGCTCCTTCATTATCATCATGTGTTTCTTTATGTTACATGTTAATATTATCTAGGCATATTTTTCTACAACCTATTTCTTTATTGTTCGTTCTTCCTGATTTGCCCTTGGAACTTTCAGATATATTGAAGAGAATTATTCCAAAATCCGTGATGTTGAGCGAGAGCTTACAGGTCTCACAATGGAGATGAAACTCACAGCAGGACCAAAGAAAGCTGGTTAGTGATTGGTGCATTATATGCTTTTTGACATTAGTGATAGTGCTTCACCTTTGTGTGCCTAAGTATTACTTTTTTCTCATCTACATCTTGTAGCACTTGAACATATGAGGAAGAAAATTGAAATGTCAACAGAGAAGATTCGTCTTGCTAAGTTGAAGGAAGAAGAGGCAAAAAAGGTTTGAGTCTTTCTGTTCATATATGTTCATCTTTTATCCCTCTCATTTACAAAGCTGATCATAGCCAATAAATGTATATATATTTCACAGGCTTTGGAAGCTGCATCAAAGGCAGTGAAGGATGAAGAAGCACTGAAGCAGAAACTATGTGAAGATTTGAATAATTTGGTACTCTACATAACACTATTTTTCTGTTTTCAGTGTATTGTATATTCACTTATGTTTTATAGGTCCAAGAAAGCAGTAGCTCTCAGTTTGCTAGACTAGAGGAACTAAAAAGGCGGCTGGAAGCTTTGAATCCAAGAAGGGCATCTGCATTTTTGGGAGCTGTAAGCCTTCTCTCTTTTTCCTTCTTTAATGCAACAGCAATAATATGTTTGTTTAATTTTCATAAAAGGGAATTTGTAAAATAAGGAAATGAATCAAATGGTGAAAATATGATATACAACTCCAAGTAGTTTGTTAATCATCAAGGGGTTTCAATTTGATTATAGTCATTTAAAAAGCTTAAATAACTTAATTTCTTTGTTAATCATATAATCATAAACTAAAGGATCTCTTATTTTGCATAGAGTGATTAGCATTAAAAATCAAAGAATCATCAAAAGTGAATTTAATTTCAAAAGCTTGAAGTTACTAGTTTAGTATACATAGGCCAAAAAGCCTGCATAAATGGATGAAATTCTGGCCCGTTAAAGGCCCAAGGGTTTTGCTTGAGCTAAAAAGCCTAGGCTTTTTTGGGCTGTTTTTTTTTTTTCCCTGTTTTTTGTATGTGTGTCATTATAGTGGATCAAAGTGTTGTTATTTAACAATAAAATAAATACAGTATGACACTTCACTTGTAATGTAAATTAAAACAATACTTGTACAGTAGTACTAGTATATTCTTATTAATTCATTTTCATATCTAATACTAATACTATCATCTTCTACATCATATCTTACTTTATTACCTATATCTACTTAATAAAGTATACACATAACAACATGCATCTTATATACATGTAAAGTATACGCACATAAAATCTATTAATTTATCTATTAAATTTTCATTATACAGCAACCTACTTTCCAAAATGCATAAAACCTACTATTATAAAGCTTAACAACATTTGGATTCTACATGCGTTATCTGATTAAGCTGCTTATAGAGAGTTAAACCAAATTTACACCTAAACTCATTGTGTTGATTGACGTTGGGTTTGACTTGTACATTCTTCTGACATTTGCATTCCATTATTTCCAGATCTGATAACTTTTTAAATAAGACATCCCTTGTCATATTTAATCCTACAAAACTCAATCCATCATTGTTTAATTAGACATCAGACTTTCTAAACACTATACCATAATAAAATTTGTACTTTATATTTCCCAATTACTTATTGAGTTCAATATATATATTTAGTTTGTTCAATTATGGAGATAATAATGATGTTGTTATGAGTTGAATTCGTAATAATGATGGTTGGTTTGTTGTGTGTGTTGTAGGGGACAAATCCAGTGGAACCTGCATTGAATTTGAGGAGGACAGGTGTGGATGTATCGGTTCCTTCTAACAGTAACAGTAATAGTATGGAAGCTGCAGCTACTACTATTACAGAATCATCTAATAATAATAATCATAATAATGAAAAGACAAGCGGAGATGTACAAGAAGGGATGACGAGGGGTAAAAAGAAAAATGCAATCCAAGGGCAAGGGAGAGCTAATAATAAAGGTCAAGGAGGAGGAATTGGAGCAATACCCAAGAGAGGAACCAGTTGGACTGGTGCTGGCTTTGACTAAATTTTCTTCCAGGTATATTATATACACACCCAGCCCCATTTTTCAATTATCAAAATTATGTTTACATTTGTAAAAAAAAAAAAAGATATGGGTTGCTTTCTTTGTTCATCATCCATATGTCATTGATTCTAGCGTCCATTGTTAAGTAGGATTTGTTTCGGAAGTAAGTGTAGTGGTAGATTCCTTTCCTGTACTGTAGACTGTAGTTGCAAAAATCAAAGCCATAGGGGACGGTGCCTTTAAATTGACAGAATCCATCATATCCTTCATTATGATTTGATATTTCAGGTTCATTAATTATTATTATTATTATTATTATTTATTTTTCAAACATGGTCTTCACTTTCCTCTGTGGTGTATCAGGTGGACCTAAGAATAGTAAATGCATACAGACTCGACTCGACTCTCTTTTAACTTTGGAATTCTTTACATATTATTCTTCACTTTGGAGTTATGTAACCTTGCAAAAAGATGACCAGTAGACTAGAAAATTCGGGGTGGGGTCTTTCGGACCTTTCAATAATAATAATAATAATAACAAAAAAAAATGTGACAAGTCATTTCATAACGGTGATAGTAACATATCAGCAAAATATATATATATATAGAAAATAAATAAGGTACATGATAAAAACATGACATGACATCTTTTTACCGATCATTTTTTTTTCACATAAACATGGTAAGGAGTTAAAGTAGACATTTCATAGAAGTGATTGTATATAACACTAATCCATTTTTAATGTAGAACTAAAAGATGGAGAGAAATGAAATCAGGTAGTGGGAAGATGTTGTATGAATATGTAATTTAAAGTTTAAAGTTTAAACTTTTAAAGTGAAATGAATAAATAAAGTCTCAGGTGTTTGCATTAACTTAAACCAGGCGATAACATATTAAATAGAGACAGTTGTAAGAAATTAGTGACACTCGCTCACTTCATCGGTTTTAAATGATAGTGTTGCATGTTAGACCTGTAGTCGTACTAGTCTAGATCTGCTGGGATCTGAGGACCAAAATTGATGTGGGCTGGGCGTAGTAAAACTGGCAGCCAGAATTGAGTTTTTATTGTGGGCTTATTATATATTATATATATATATATATATATATATATATATATATATATATATAATATATATATATATTATATATATATATATATATATATATATATATTATAAATCACGACTCACGGCAGGTCCATGACACCACTATAACTACAACTTACAAGAACAAGACATGTCCTCCTCGTCCTGCTTTTTTGTCAATACGCATCCACATCCACCGCAGCTCTAATTCATACATGGTACATTACCATAAATTTCTGTACCTTTTTACCTTATACTGTGTTTTCCTTTTCTTTTATATATATATATATATATATATATATATATATATATATATATATATATATATATATATATATATATATATATATTATTGGAGGAAAATACACCATCAAAAATCAAAAACTGACCCGTCAATAAATACACATGTTTGGGTAACAGTTTTCAACCTATTTGAATAAACAAGAAAAATTAGGGTTAAGAATTTCAATTTGTAGCTATTTTTTTTAAGATAAATTAGAATCACCCAAATCCAAAATCATATTAAAATAAAAACTTTGTATTGAGTTATGGAAATGATTTAGTCCCACTCATTCATGATCTTGCCCCTACACCTCTTAACTCCCTATTCTTCTCATTTCTTTCACCTTTTTCCTTTCTGCCCTTGTACCTCATCTTTCTTGTTTTGACCCGTCAAGACTAAATGTATTTGCCAAGGGGTTGGCTAAATGGACACCTCATATTATCATTTAGACACCTTATATATTTTTAAAAGTATTTTTATTGTTTAAAATTGCATTGTTTTCTGAAAAAAAAAATGATTAAAAATAGTTATCAATAGGTTGACTTTTGATAAAGATATCTATAGAGTGTCTAAATGGTGTCTTAATAGCAGCATCCTATGGACTTATAGACTTAGTAAAGGATTCGGGTAATCTCTCTCAACCCATTTAATATTTTAAACTCAACATTTGTCAAGTCTAATCAAAATATAACCACACTACACCAACCATAATTTGGTAAGTAAGTGAATAGTTTTTAAGTTTTCTTTAAAAAAATAATAATAATAATAATAATAATAATAATAAATGTATAGAAGATAAAAAGATGATGGGTATTTGGCAGGTGAATGGATCTGGTTTGGTAGCGGTGGTCCATGGAGTATAATTGCATGATTAACGCCGGTTGGTTCACTGCTGCCCAGAAAACTGGTAGTCCTACTCGTACATATTCATATTCATATTCATATTCAGTCAGTCAGACCCTTTTCATTGCCTTCTATTCTTTTACATCACTTTTTTCACATTTTTATTATTTTTATTTTTTACTTTAATCTAACCTAACTTTGCTTCAACTCTTTTATACTAATAATATTCGTCGAAAACTTTTATTTATATCATGAAAAAGTATAAGTACCTATTAATTAAAGTCTATCTATATACGTTGTTCAAAAATAAAGCACTGTAAGACCAAAACTGATATTTACCACTGCTACTGCATTAACAAATATTACAAAAATCAAACCAAAAAAAAGACTAACTTCGGTGATTGAATTTGTAGATCTTTTGACATAAACAAGTTATTTTTCCTTGAAAGTATAATAATATTTTGGTATTTATGCCACAAGTCATTTTTTCTAATTTGACACCGTTTTTATTTTTATTATTATTATTATTTATGCAAGAACCACATTATTTTAACTGTTTTATGTTAATTCTGTCCATTTTACAAGTTATAATAGTTCATTTATCATGTCACATACCAACATCACATAAACAAAATCAAATTGTCATTTCACGCTCAAAGCAACCCGATAACCTAGAAATGGGCTAAATTGACCAAAAAAAAAAAAAAAAAAAAAAAAAAAACTATTGTTATCTTAGAAATAAATTTTAAAAAATTTCAAATTAGAAATAAAAAATAACATACATTAAAATCCTATTTACGTGAGTTTTTTGCTAAAATGTTGGTCCCTCTTACCGTCCCATAACCCTTATTTTAGAAAGATGAATATCATCCTACAATTTCTTCCTACTTATCCTCCTACCCATATTAAATGGCGATAAATGGATTAAAATATTATTAAGAAAAATTAAATAGGACCTATATTTTAAAAGTCGGTTTGAACTGGCCGGTAAAACCGGTTGGACCGCGAAGCAGAGGGAGCGGTTCAACTGTCACTGATTTTACTTCGATTTTTGAACCGGATTGAACTGACTGGTTTTTAGAAAAAAAAAAAAAACCTCGTTTGAACCAGTGAAACCGAATAAAAATAAATGGAAAAGAACCATTTGCATATTAAACTTTGGTGATTTTTTTCAAATCTATTTAGTTTTTTCTAAATTAAAATATATGGTAAATGTTATAAAGTTTTTTGATGTATTTGTACTCATTTAAAACTATATTTTGTTTTAGTATAATATTTTATTTTCTTTTTGATGTATACGGATTGATGTAAACACTAAAATTGATGGTCATGTATTATTTTAATGCATTTTGATTGATCTACAACTTATTTTTATATGTATTTTTAATGTTTAAACCTGTAAACGTCAAATTCATGATTTATATATGTATGTATGTATATATAGAAAAAAAAAGATGAAATTATAGAAACCGATCACCATATTTGTTCAACTAAAAAACCGGTCTTTAAAACATTGAATAGGACACATGTCATCAAGCCCATGGATTTTGATCGTAAAGTTGTAATAATAACACTCTTAACATGTAGTTACATCACCTTTTTTAGTGTCATGTCGTTTTTTTGTTTATTATCTCACTAGCACCTTATTCTTAGCATTTCATAGGAGTGATAACACTCCTAGTACTTTTTTTTTTAATTTTCTTTTTCAAATTTAAATAAATTACTATATGATTTTTTTTCAAATTTAAATAAATTATGCTTTTTTTTTTTTAATTTACAATTTTATTTTTCAAATTTAAAATAAATTATATTTTTTAATACACAAACATTTAATATTGCATAAGTTATGTATTTCTTTTAAAGACAAACACTTAATATTAATAAAAAAAAGATTACAGTAATTTAAAACATAAAATACGATTAGAGAAATTAAAACTAGACTTGCTACCTAAAAACTTACATAAAACCTTAAAACTTGACTTAAAACCTACAACATGGTTTACAACTAGACGTAAAACATAAATTAAAACTACATTTAAGATATAAAAATACTCCGGCTTATCCCAGTTGTATTGTTTAACCGTAAATTGTTGAAAATCTGACGATCCTCCTCGGTCAATTCCTTTTCCAGGTTTTAGAAAAGCTTTAGCGCACGATTCATTTCTTTTTCCTTTCCCAATTCTAAAAAACCCTTAAGCTTAGCGTCTAACCCTTTGATGTCACTTCTTATATCCTCCACTTCACTCAATGAACTTTATGCTCCTTTTAGTTTTCTTTTTGCTCTACCTCGTCCCATAGGACGAGTTGGAGCTTCATATGGATCGTCGTTGTTGAGGTCAATCCCCTGATACACTTATCAGGAAAATTGTTTGTGGGTTGACTCGGAAGTTTTGCTTCGTTCGGACATACCCGTGTAATCATCAACACTTTTTAGATTAAGCCATTTTAGATTGCCCTTCCCCACGATGCCTCATTAACAAAAGGTTTTCCAACTTTCGCCTTATAAATCTTACAAACTTTTGATAGAACATCCACCTCATTTGCACCGCTTCGGGGGTTGCTGGTCACGTTCATGTCGATGTCATTGAACTCTATTCAGGCTTTGTTGGTGGTCCTCCATTTCGAGTAAAGTTGATTAGCATTACGACACTCTTTTTTCATTCGAACACAAAAGCTAATCCAAACTCTATTTTTAAAGGTTATTGAATCTTAGTCGTCTCCCGTCGTCGGATCCTCAGACATATCAAGCCATGCTTGCACTATTGCCCTCTCTTCATCATCCATCCATCCTTTGGATGAAGCATTCCCTTTTCCTTTACATTTTCCTTTTAGTTCAACTTCGCGCTCTTGAAATGACTCTTGAATGGGGTCTTCATCGGACGAATCGGTTGACTCGTTGACTTGGCGGTGTGGTTGGGATTGAAAATTAGTTTGAGGTTGAGGTTATAAAAAGAATTAGGTACCTTCAACTGTCTCAAACGGATCAAGATCAAAATTTGGACGAGGCATTGGTTGGGATTGGTAATTAGTTTGGGGTTGGTTTTAGTAAAACGACATGGGTTGAGAAGAATATAGATTGAATGGAAATATTTGTGGTGCCATATAAGGATAGTAGTAACTAGCAGGTGAATGAATTGGTTGAATAAATGAATGTTAATAACATGGTGGTGGTGGTGGTGGAAGGTTTGGTGATTGAGGGTTTGGAGGTGGAAGGTTTAGTGATGGAACATCCCAAACATACATAACATGCCTAACCCAAAGAGTATAACGGGCCCATCCCTGTCTCATATAATAGGCCTAACCCAATATACATAACAAGTCAATCTCAGGGACCATATCCCGATCTTTCATATAATTGTTAGGGGCTAAATCCAGGTGTTTCATATAGTACGTAAAGTCAGATGGTCATGGATCAGATAGACAGTCGAACAGGTGGTCCACCCGAAAGCAATGAATCAAACAAGAACCATGCAATAAAGCTTTGGACCAAGAGTTCTCAGGCTATCTAACTTGGACTACATACGACCCCTAATATTGCACACAATGACCATCCAAAACTATAATCACCCTAACTATCCATAATTATACAAGTGATGTGATCCAACTACGGTCTTGCATACATGTATTTGATCCAACCATAGTCTTTCATGCATGAGTCACAAGACAGTCTAGCATAACAGGACACCACCAAGTGTCCTATATTGCACATAGTTATCAAGTAACAATCAAAATCAACTAGGATACTCGTACTATAACAATACTTATATCCTATCATACAAAGGATATACAATGTCATACACGGCATAGTGAGAAAGCTCATCTAAATTGCAGAACCGAAGAAGCACAAAAACACCCTTACTCCTTGCACTGATCAATCCCGCGAACCAAATAACACCAAATAAAGATAAATCCTTTATCCTCAACCCAAAACATCCAAGTTTGACCCAATATCAAACTGGTCAAAAGTTAAAGGCCAACGGTTAACAAAAGTCAACGGTCAACCAAGTTAATGGTCACCACGACATTGAGACCTCTTGGCCAAGTCGTGGGCATGTCTGGACAAAATAGTCAGCATGCACGATATCACCACGCCGTGAGGCCCTCCATGGTCATGTCGTGGTTTTTTCCAGAAATGTCATTTTTCTCATTAAGAACTTAATGTGTTAAGTCCTTTGCTCAAACTTTCCAGGAGGGTTCATTTCCCTCAAATGAACCATAAATATCTATACTTGATGGACATGCATGTCCAACGCATGACTCTCCCAAAAATAGATCAAACTGGTAAGAAATGGAGTTAAAACTCCATACATGGCACTAATCAACATGAAAGTCTAGATTTGAAACTTATAATGGCTTAGGGACCTCAAGGAGTGATAAAGTTGCCAACTTTATCAAAACCATCCATTCATATAAATATATCATGAAGGAAAATAAGCTCAAAATCTAGATCTACAAGGGTGAACTATAAACGTAAGTACTTGGAGACTTACAAAAGTCGAGAAAATGCACCAAGAGATGGAGATGAGCTTGCTAGCTGATGCTTTGCTCAACAAGACCCTCTTTCAACCTTCATTTATCCAAAACACCAACAAAGAGCTCAAAAGACAAGATGAGTGGCTATGGTTTCGAAATAGGGAGATAGAGGCTTAAGGAGATGACTTAATCCAAGAGTTAAGGTCCTTAAATATGGGAGAAAATATAAAAATCTCGAGCTTAGGTTGCAGGAGCCACCATTTTATGGCCTCCCTCTTGTCATATCGTGGTGTCCATCCACACATGTTTTTCATTTAAGTGTCGTCCTACGTCGCGGTCATCAACACATCACGTCATGGCATAAGGTTTTCCCAAAAAATCATATCTTTGACCCCTTTAAGTCTTCAACTGATCCAAAAGGTAAACAGGTGTTACACAAGGAGGGACGTGCCTCGTCGACAAAAAGTTTCTAGGTTTTTGATTTTTGATTTCCAGGTTTAAAGGTTATGGTAACTAAATCTTAGTTTAGGGCATAATCAAATAAGATATACTAGAGTCTAGGGTTTATCCATGTGATACCTCAAAAACTACTACCTCTTAGTACTCTGATTTTTCCCTGAACAAAATCTTTTCTACTTTTAAGGAATGTGCTTCTCTTGATATTTATTATTCACAAAAGGAAACTCAGGTTGCATATTCAACATATATGAACCGTAAGCTTAAATTACCTAGCCACATGGGGTTATTAAAGTACATGCTTTTGCCATCTTTATCTGCAACAATTAACAACATAATGATGATCATCTCAAAGAGTAACCACATGATTCATGATTCACGATTCTGATGATTCAAATGACATGATGATTACCAGAAACAATTGTTGCATGACAATTGGCTTCAAGCTCTGAATCAACAGGGAAAACTCTTGCTTTCATGCAACAAGACGTTTCATTCACATTGCCATCCAAACTTCTTTGGACTTCCAAGTCTCTCCATGCGTCTCCCTCCATAGATTCTCTCTTCCTTCTCCAGTTTCAGCCTCTAACACCAAAATATGGACCACACACTTTAAATTTCTACACCCACAGATAACATGAACATGAAACAATACAAATCAAAAGCTTTTATAATAGGATAGATATAGAATACATGAAAGGCTTAAAAGGATAGACTAAATAGGGGGGGGGGGGGGGAATCTTGCGAAGACACATGGACATCAAATTCAACAATCACAATATTTTGTTTTGAAATTTTTTTGAGAT